ATCGTCTCGATCTCGGAAATCATCTCGGATCACGGAAATCATCTCGGATCACGGAAATCATCTCGGATCACGGAAATCATCTCGGAGATATTGGAAAAATCCTACGAAAAATTGTAGGATACAATTGTAATTGTAACTGTAATGGCACCTGAACGTTTTCAATCACAGAGGCGAATGCGATCGTTAAAGCGACCAGAATTCTAACTGAATTCCACGACGACGACGACGACGACGACATGATGATGATGGCAACTAACTTGAATGCCCTTTACTAAATTCCTCTATCTGCTACAAAGAGGGAGTGAATTTGAAGGGATGGTGGCTGGCCACAAGGAGGGTTTAGTCCTTCAAAAGTTTCGGAAACGCCCTGTTTTCGAGGTAGCATGCTTTCGAGCTGATTTGGCTAATTAGAGAGTGGCTTTGGTTGATCTTGAGATTTCGATTGAACTCTAGGAGTTGAGTTGATAAAGAAGCCAATCACGGTTTTAATGAGATGCTTTCGATCCGTCGAAAATGTTTTATGATGTTACGTAACACATCATATTTATGGAAAATATTTTATCTCATTTAATCTAAAGCAATAAAATTGCTCTAAATTGACCCCTTTTAAGAGTATCTTTTTCTTAGTTTANAGTTTAACTGAAAAGTGTCTTCTTAAAAGTAAAGTAAATTCAAAAACTTTCTTTTAAAAGTATATTTTAAAAAGTATCTCTAAAACTATCTTTAAAAGTATCTTTAAACGGTGTCTTTAAAAGTATCTTTAAAGGGTGTCTTTAAAAGTATCTTTAAATGGTGTCTTTAAAAGTATCTTTTAAAAGTATCTTTTAAAGTATCTTTAAAAGTATCTTTAAGGGGGTGCCTTTAAAAAGTATCTTTTTAAAATTGTTTTAAAAGTATCTTTTAAAAAGTATCTCTAAAAATATCTTTTAAAAGTATCTTTAAGGGGGTGCCTTTAAAAAGTATCTTTAAAACCATCGTTTAAAAGTATCTTTAAAACCATCTTTAAAAGTATCTTTTTAAAAAGTATCTTAAACAGTCTCTTTAAAAAGTATATTTCTAAAAGTAAAGTATTTCCTTGCGTGTGTGTACTTGGCATGTGAAATTACTTTGGAAAATGGAAAATACTTTGGAAA